AAATTATATAGTCACACAACATAAATTTGAGATCGTCACAAAGTGATAAATGTGATAAAGAGAAATTCCACCATGCTGTAAAAAGTATCATTATTTAATCGTGTTTCTATCTTTTGTAAAAATACAATCTGTGCATTAATAATGCTAATGGGAAAATTTATTTACCAATTTTAACTAAAAGTTCTCCTTCCATTGTAAACTTTTGTTTCGGTAAAAAATATAAGTAATATTATTCTAGCCCACCTCACAAATCCAGTTTATTTATATTGTTTCATTCGCTAAATCTGAGAACCTGCTAGAAGAAAAAAATAGATGATTAGTAATTACGTTATCCTGATATTTCTCAGATCTCTACCCGTAAAGCAATTCTATTAGTACTGAATATATGAGTCATATAGTTCTATGCGAAGTATATTTCGTCATCTATGGGAAAATTAAACTTTTCAATCTGCCGATCGCTCTTGTAAAATGTAAAATAAGCCAAAACTTGACGATCTCGGAGATGGCGGAGATCTCAACTCCCATAACATATGAATTTTGATATAAGCCAGACTCTACGTAGTATTATTACTGATAAAGAACCTCATTCATTTCCTTTTTGTGTCTCATTTGTATTTTTTTTCTTATCGAAAAGCTTTATTAATATATTAATATTAATATTAATATTATAATTCATAAATAAGAAAATAATTTTAGTGGTATCACAAAATAATCTTGTGGAACAATAGAGCTGGTATATATTCGAATATTAAAAATGTTTATGTTTAGTCTAATCCATATACATTACTTTTTTTTGTGTTTTCATGCGTCATCGAGCTAATTTGGTTATTATTAGAAGTTCATAGAACGTGTAAGAGGTCAGTTGATATATTTGTGCGATCATATGCAGGTATATCAAAATTGGATTAACTACACATGGTTTAGATTCTTAAAATCATGTATATTAATATAGATTTCGATTATCTCCTCGCTTTATTGAAAAAAAATAGATTATACAGAGTGATCTGAAAAATGATTTATAATAGCTTTAATTTGAGGTATAGAAAGACGAGATATCGAATCTGCACTATATGATTTGATCAAATTAATCTTATCTACACCTATATCATTAAACAATCTATATATATTTCTCGCCTTATAGGTTTTCTTACGTAGATTGTCGGCTGTTACATTTGGAAGATGAGACGAAACTTCTTTGTACACTCTACTTCTCGCCGTTTTATCAGTAACGTGTTCATTAGCCAAAATATAACGAACTTTATTTTCATGTAACTCTCCGAACCGATACCAGGACAATATTTCTTTCTGATTTCCACGAGTCGCATCCTTTTCTGTTTGAATTGCTTTTTGGAATAATCGGGCAAGATCTAGTGCCGTTGGGTTTGTAGTTTCGGTATTGGATAAACTCTGCTCTCCGTCACTACTAATTTCAACTATTGCTCTGGTAGGTGTTGACAATTCCATTATCAGGCCTTGTATTTTTTTCTGCCTACGTGTAATTCTTGGTGATCTTTTTGAGTCGGTTTCATTAGAGCTTTCATCCGACGATTCCTCTTCCGCTGGCTCTTCAGAAGCACTTTCCACCGATGATCCTTGTGATTTTTCAGATGATTCCGCTGAGTTTATCTGCAAATTATCTCCTAATGTATTGGCCACGATAAAGGTTTGGCTGAACTCATTATTCACCTTCTCGCATATCGGACAATGTAATTGGTGGTTATCGATGCAATTATGATGGAAAATATGTTTACATGTTAATATGGTAATCGGTTCCGTAAGTTGTGAGGAAATTTCGATTTGACATACTGGGCAAATATTAGGTTCATCAGGATTAATAGATAATATATTCTCGAAGCTTTGACTTATATCAGATGGTATAGAAGATGGTATTTCGCAAAAAATAATTTTATAAGCGAATCTTCTTAATGTTTCCATAATCAATGAATTTATTAGATATAAAATTTATAGTACTCGACTTGTTTTTATAGATCAAACCTTTGGCACAGTCATACATATTCAGGCGAATGAAATGGACAATTTAATGATAAGTTTCTGAATTAATCAGCTCTCATTTTAATTAATTGATGTGTATTTTATTATGAAATTGAAAATAATTTAATGATATAGAATCTAAATTAATCAACTTTTTATCATGCCCGAATTCAGATTCCGAGATGTAACAAACGTGATTACCGTCCACAAGTGTTGACGATCGACTTTGAGTATCACTTTTGTAAATATCTCTATTATTTCAAGCGTTCTTATCTAGATCTAAGAAATGATCTAACAATCCAATCTGGACTAAAATTGAATCCAATTATTCTAGAGTATAAAGTTATTAAATCTAATAGATCTAAATCCTTAAATACGATATAATCACATATAACTCCAAATATGTCAGGTCTTAATATTCCTATTGTTATTGATAAAAAAACTAAATCACAGAAACTCATTAATAATAGACCGGGATATGATATGAAATATGTAAAGTCATATATCTACAATTATTGTGGAATTAATGATTATCAACGATACTTTGATGATCTTTATGAGACTGAAAGACAATATGATACTTTATCAGTTATTCGACCCAATGAAACTCCACAACAATGGGCTATTCGGGTCAGAATTCCTCTACAAGAGCTGGTTTCTGAAAAGAAAAGAAGTGTATATCATGTACATTGTTTATTTGGGGGATTTGGAAATTCTAAGCCAATTAATCATGATTACTACAGGCCTAGAATCCATAAAGCCAATGTAGCGATATGTCTAGATTGTATGAAACTTATTCATATTGATAATGTAAAACCAAAGAAATCATTCTATTTTACCAGAAAAAGGTATATCGAAATTATCAAGCCAGATGATTTGATGCAGAAACATTGGGATCATGAGTGTGATAAACCTAAATCTTGAGATGGACATGCAAGGATTATTCAAAGAGCTTGGAGACGATTTCAAGAGAAAGAGCCATCGAATGCACAGCTTGCATGGAATAGCTTACCGAATGATAATACTCCAGATGATAAGAAATTTTTAGGTTTAACTCAACATAAAATAAAAAATCCTCAGACTCGAGAACAATTTAATCAGTGGCGTACTAAATGGATTGAATTATATAAAAACGATCCCATGATGCGCAGTTCCATTATTAATAGACAATATGAAGAATATTATATTCCATATAATTGGATAGATTCTAAAAAGAGTCAATTGTGGACTAGATTCCAAAAGCGACTTTTAGAAATAGAAGCGTAAATATATTAATTATTATACACATCTAAAGTATTCTTGAGGGTTAGTACTTTAAACTTTTATTTATTGCTGTTTCGTGATGGTTAAAGGCTATTTTTTGTTTGTTATCATTATACTAATGATTATATAATAATGGTGTGTTGTCAATATGCGATTAACGGTTGAATTTTTAACTACTTTACATTTTTTTTCAAATTCTATAGAATTCAACAGAATTTTTTCCGGGGTATATACAAATGAAATTCAATCAAGCATATACATATCTGATACAGCAACTACCTCCCTCATTAGTGGAAGAAGCATGGAGACGCCTTACTACTCGAAAACGCAATCCTTTTACACTACTAGAAGCATGTGGTATAGATCCAGCTATTGAAGATTTTTTGCAACATGAAATTATAGTTTATAATAGAAAAAAAGAACGCCAACGTCGAAGTTCATCACCACTTGAAAATTTATCACGTGTATATAACACAGAAATGACTAACCAAGAATCCCAAACCCAAGATACTATTCCGATTTGTACATGTGATCAGGTACATAAGTGCCCTTGCTTTGCAAGTAAGGAAGAAATCAATCGCCAGGTTAAGAAAGAGGTCGATATTTTATTTCAGAGATTAATGGAATATAATGAAAAAACTTTTGGTAAATTTATGCGAGAAATTACTATAGAGTATGGAAAGCGGGTTAATGAAAATAAAAAATTGCGATGTGAAATCGAACAACAAAAGATACAATTACAAGAGACAGAAAAATGTCTCGCATATCTGAAGTCACGCTCTATTCATCAAGTTGACTAATTGGCATATCCCAGCCGACACGTATTCTATGCGGGTGTTCTGGAGGTACACTTAAATCGAAGACAATAAATTTTTGTTCACATAAATGCTTATTAACAATTTTATAGACACTGCACCAGTCATTAACATATAAACGAAGTATTCTACTTAACTAATCTGAGGTACAAAAGCCGTTGAACAATACAACATATTTTAAGTTTTTTCTTATTAGTTTTGGACAGTCAAAATAGCTTTGTGAGACATATATCGAAGAAACATTGGAATGGCGCCCCTCTGTAAAATAAGGTATAATCTTTTCTTGAATTTTCTTTGGTTCAGTGCATACATCCTCAAATATAACCACTGTACCTCTTTTCTGGTGAGAATGAATCTAGCTTTGGAATTTTATCTGGTTTCATAGCCCGAAATGTAATATCTTCACAATATGACTCTGGACTATTTGCAATTATTTGGAAAACTGATTTAAGGTACATGTATTTTGGCTTCTTGAGATAGTGACCAATAAGCACGACATCATCACACTTAATATATCTAGTGCCTCCTTGTTTACCATTAAACATTCTATGTAGTTTATTTCCGCCCAAAAGACGAACAACTTCAGTAGATTTTCCTGTATTAGTTCGACCAGAGATTATAAGTGTGAAAGGCCATTGGGGTGTGCTATTTAATGAGTTAATCTTTCCGGATTAACGTATTCGTCGATATTGAGTACAAATTTCTCGACCGGATCAGCTTTCTATTTTCATCCCGATTAAGCTAAGTAATGCTAAATTATTATATCGAAAAATAATGATCTTTATTGTGATATATACATATTCACTGGATTTTTTTATTCTGATAAATCATAGATTCGAACTTGTATTACACCATCTGTATCTGACTCACTATTCGTATCTGAATACCAACCGAAAATATTGAGAGTGGGATTTTTATTCTGTAAGGTTATAATTGCATTCATGCTGATTTCATCGCAATCAGCAATAACAAGCTTCTGGAGATTACACAAATTTGCTAATGCGGACATAGATTTATCAGTAATATCACACCCTTCAAGATAAAGCTGTTCAAGTTCTGGACACAATTGTGCTATTACACAAATAGATTCATCAGATATATGACGCCAAGATACATTGAGATATTGAAGTTTAGGGCACGAGTCTGCAATTATTCTCACGGACGTATCAGAAACAGCTATATTATCCATATCGAATTTACCTTCTTCATCAGCAAAAGAAAAACTAAGCATATTTGGATGTGAAATAGCTATAGCGCAAATACCATCATCTGTTATCTTCTCACAATTACTCAGGTGAAGATGTCGGAGGTTTGGACATAAGTGAGCGATTTCTTTTAATGATACATCGGTAATACCCGAACCACCTATATTAATATACTCTATTTTTTTACACGACTTAGCAATTTCGATTACTGAGATATCTGAAATATTATTACTATATCCCAAATAAAGATAAGTTAAATTTGGACATAATGATGCGATCCCACAAATTGTTTTATCCTTGATATGATGAGGCTTAGAGGCCTTAATTGCATTATTGTAAAATTTAAGAAATAGTAAGTTCGGATATATGATTTTTCCAATTGTTTTGCTAGAAAATCCATGGCAGTTGCTTATAGTTAAGTGACGCAGGTTCGGACACAGTCCTCTAATCCGATATAAGGTTCCACTAGAGACTTTACATCTAGAAATGCAAATATCGATTAATTTTGAAATATGGAGAGGTTTTTGTGTATGTATCACTTCTTTGAATTTTTCCCAGTAGCTAGGATTTTTTTTGTAACCATTGTCAACGAATTCGACTCTTCTCCATAATATTGGGGCAGAACATAAATACCACAACCGGTTAACAAATAAAGTCGGGTATAAATGTTTTATCTTCAGCAAGATATGATAAAATTTCAGTTAAAAGTTCAGGCAAGGCAAGTGGATGAAGGCCTAAAGGGTCATGATTCGAAGAAGAGACAGAGTCTCAAATCTCCGATTCATCGCCTAGACCCAAAGGGTCATTGCTCTGCGGTAACGGCCTGCTTTGCAATAGTTTATTATATGTCATACTTATGTATCTTTAGATACTAGCTCCGCTATCTTATGAGATTATTCTTTATGCGATAAATAACCTTTTTCAATGAGTATATTTTTAATAAATTCATATAAATCTGCATCATAGCTAATTTCAACGAGATCTATACCTTCTCTTTGACATATCTCCCGCTTTTTTTCGTCACGTACTTTTTGTTCATCCAGATCAATTTGTCCTCTCTTATGGAACATTGAATCAAGACTGTAGTGTTGGATTCCCTGAAATTCGTATGCCAATTTTAGCTCTTCATTATACCCGTCTAATTGCATCCCATTCAAAAATGCCAGTTTACAAGATGGAAATTTCTTACCTAACAGGTCTTCGAAAATATATCTACAGCGACGTTCATCGGCGTGATGGAAGCAAAGTGGACACCATTCAAATTTCGTAGCTATTAATGGATATGGATATTCCCACTGATGCTTTCCGTTTTCACAGGACCAGAGATATACATCAAAATCATTTATTTGGTCAGTTTTCATAATACAATGTCCACCACGCTTCCTGACATATTGTTGCGCTTTAGTCATTTTATTAATAACACGAACGATATTAACAGATCTGGAGTGAGTGTTTTCTTCCAATATACTCTGGGGTGGATACTGAAGCGTATCAATATTCACGTGCATGAGTTCTTCACGTACAAATCCTCGCTTTGGAGGATATTCATCGTCATCGCTCCCAAGATAATATAAAACTGGTTCGTTCTTCGTTACCACAATTTTTCGAATTTTATGAATGCTTGGACTGAATGTGGGATCCGTGGCTCTTTTCTGATTTTCCATACCTCCTTCCCATTCCGCATTAGCAAGCAGATAACGAACACTATCACCCTTCTTTAACTTATTCTCCTCATTTTTCCCAACAGGACGTTTATATTTTGTGGATGGCCGAGATTCAACCTTTTCTAATTTGATGGCTTTTATTGGTGCCAACCCCCACTTCGAGGATCCAGGAGCTCTAATAAGACGTGTTGGATAATTATTTAGGTAATCGATAACTTCTGGCAAATACTTGACCCACTCTCTTATTAATTTAGGATTTTTAGATATCAATTCGACGGCATACTGAATTTTATAAAGCATCTCTGCTAACGTCTTATTGAATCGTTCTACAAGAGCTAATCCACGATGACTATAAGCACCAATTACTCGAATTGTGACATTGTGTTCTTGCATCAACAAACTTACCGATTTTTTAAACTCTGACCCGCCATCACAATGTAGAAGCGTCGGGTATGTAAGAGGGTTGTTTGGGGTCGTCATAAATTTTCCTGAATGCTTTAGCAACCTCCGAACTTTTCTTTGATGTTAGTGGAACTGATGCTTTGAATCGGCTAGAGATATCCACTATGTTGAGAACTGCTACCCATTTTTTACCTTTATAATGATCATGTGTAAGGAATAAGAGGTCGCACTGATGTACACAATTTGGCTTGCTAATTTTTCCATAACTCACTCTGGAAATGTATCTAGGAGGTGGTGCATATTTTTGCCATTCACTTTGATTTGTGAGCCATTTTTTAATCGTAGAGAGCTTAAATTAATGTCCCTTTTTCTGACATTCATCTCTTAACGTCTTTGCGTTGGAGAAATAACCAGTAGGACGGTAATATATTTCTCGCAATATAAGATTTTTTTCAATATCACGAGCTTCATTAGGATCTATAATGATACTAGGGTTACTCATTTTGGCAAGTCAGGGTAAGTCAAATATATTATGCCATAAAAAATAACCATGACATTTCGTCGACCACATCCCAATCAAATATCTCATGGACCAAGCTCTGATCGGGAATTGGAATTGGAGCAGGTAAATCAAGCTTTGAGAGATGAGTTATCTAACGAAGCTTCAATCAATAGGTTGAATGAAAAATATATAAAGGATCTGGAGCGTAAATATATCAGATGCGAGAAAGAAATCCAATCTCTCAATAGAGAATTATAACAGCTTGAGAATGCTTCAGAGTGGGAAAAGGCAGAGTTGAGATCAGAAATCTCTAGCCTTCGTATACAAATCTATAATGCTAAGAAAGAGGTTCGAGATAAGGCTTCTCATATTGCCAATATAGAAAAGCAATTACAAGAATCGGAAGAACATGTTCAAAATCTGAGGTATAGATTCAAAGTTATTTCTTCCCGAAGAAGCTCTCCAAGTTTATATAATTCAGAAGAGGAAGATACAGATATGGCTCATATAGATCCCTTTGTAAATATTAGAAGAGGGCTAGTTCGGCTTGAAAATCATTTTAGGGGTGGTACACCATTAAACAATCCAGCCAATATTGTCCAAGGTATATACGGCACTTTAAATACTATTAGGGCTAATTATCAAAGAAAAGACCAGGATTTAGATGATATCACAAATCAACGAGATGATCAAGATGCTCAAATAGTACAATTACAACAGGATGTCAATTTCTATAGACAACAAAATGCCAACCTTCAGAATCAAACCAATCAACTTATTCAAGCACAAGATACCTTGCAAACCATGTCAACCAACTTATACCAGAACGAGATACCTTGCAAAACCATGTCAACCAACTTATACCAGAACGAGATACTTTGCAGAATTGTGTCAATCAACTTGCTCAAGATCTTAATAATAGCCAACAAAGATATAATTTGCGAGGGCATTTGTGGTTTAATGCAAGTCTGATATGGGATGAACAGTCAAAACTCAAACATGTTCTTGAAATAATTTATAAGGCATTTATTCATCACTTAGAGCAGGAGCTACAACAATGCCGGGCTGATAAAGGATTATTAGAATATAATCAAGATCAGCTCTTTGATAGATACTAAATAAATTTAAGGTTCGCAAGGCAAGTCATATCAAGTGGAAAAATAGGGAGCGCAATTCACAGCAATTAATTTTAAATTTACAAGCCCAAATTTATTACTACAGAATAATATACCACATAATCATAATAACAATCGAACAGGTATGGTGGGTTATGAATTAAAAAAATTCAATGGATATCCTACTGAAGATCCCGAAGAACATATTGAAGAATTTAGATTGTGGCTTGTAGGTTCTGGAATAGATATAGGTGCTGGCCATGCTAATAGAATTAATGCTCATGGTGTTTTTATAGCATCTCTCAAAGGTGATGCTAGAAGAACCATCCATGGAAAAAATTGGGAATTGAGGAATTTACTTGATAATACGGCACAAGCAAATTTAGCTGCTGTTCAAGGAAGAAATGCTAGTCAAATTGGAGTACAGGCCTTAAATCGTGCAAATGGGCAGAATGGTAATGTTGTAATTCCAGCTCATACAGTATTTGATGAAGATTGGTCTTTTGCTGATGGACGACCAACTGATCGTTTACCTAATGCGCCAAATGCTAATACAGGTAATACTGTAGTTGTACCTGGTATTCGACTCGGACAAGTATTATACTGGTTTAAAACTAACTATCCTACAGTTACTGCAGAGAAACAACGAGCACTTTTTGGTTCAACTGTTCAAGGGAGTGAACCAGTTGGTCGTTTCTATTCTAATTTGCGAAGGTTAGCTAGGCTTGCAGGTATAGATGAACGACAAATTCGATTACAATTTATTCGTGGACTTTCACCCACAAATCAAATCGAAGTTCGTCGTTTAGGACTTGAAAAATCTGTAGATAATTTACTTCCAAATCTTGAAGAAATCGAGAGATATACAGCAGAACAGTTATCTGGAGCTTATTTACATCCAATCTCAGATCTAACGTCAACAAAAAAATCCGTGACTAATTATTACGGGAATAAAGATAATGTGACTAATTATTACGGGAATAAAGATAATGTTTCAGTTAATCCAGGTATGAGTAAGTCTGAAATCGAAAACCTAATAAAATCTATGATTCCTTCTTCAGAACCCCAGCAAGTACAGGTACCAAAAAAGACACCGCCAACTGTACCACCAAAAGATATGGAAGCAATATATGATTCTTTATTATTTAAAGAATTATACGACTTAGGATTTCGGGATGGACCTATAGTAGATTTTATAGAAAGTTATAATAAACGCGGAGAATATTTTAAAAGAAAACAGGCTCAAAAGGATGATTCTGATGAAGAACTTTCCAATCGCATGAGTAAGTTATCTATAAACAAGGCAATATCCAAAGGAGTTGCACAGGGGGTAAAAACAGGTATTCGCGCTTCCAATAAATCATCTCGTCATAGATGTTCCAATTGCAATAGAACCGGACATAATTCCCGCAACTGTTCTCGGAAGAAGAAAAACAAATCTAAGAGAAAAGCTAATGTTAATATCGCTCATATAAATTCTAGTTCAGATTCGGATTCGGATTCGGATTCGGATACTAACTCTTCTGATAATGGATCTGAATCTACTTCTAGTGATTCTTCATCTGAAGTTGAAAGTTTGAACGTTAACATCACCAAAGCCAAAGAAAAAAAAAAGTAAATCAAAAGAAAAATTCTAATATTCTGAATATGTATTTGCCTACAATGTGCATGAATATCATCATCTGAAGAAGAACTTCGAATTTCCTCATCATCTGAACTAGAAGAAGAATTCGAGTCATTAAATAGGGGCGGTATATCAGTATTAGACGTACCTTCAATAATTATTATTATGGAGTTTGATGAATTTCCACTATTCTCATTGTTGCTAGAATGTAATTCCTCTTCAATATCGCCTAAAATATTACTAGTTCTTCTACTATGTCTATGGATTGTATCAAATTTTTGGCGCATACCTCCTGTTAGACTTCCAGTATCGCTAGAATCTGAGTAAAAAGATGATGAGAAATCAGGTGAATTAGGCATTGGAACTTTAATCGTTAAACCTTTTGCTTCTCGTGTTTTATAGTCCCATTCAGAAAGATGTTTTTGCATTAACCGTTTATTTTCTGCCTTTTTTAAGGTATCAAGTTTAAATTTGAGCGCCTTTCTATCATCCCGATTAATCTGGAATAGTTTTCGATAAAAAAGTTTTTCACGCAACAATTCACCAACCTGTCTATGCTTATCTTTGTATGAAAAATACCAACGCCGACGTACATTCTTTTCATTATATAGTGCAAGACACCTAGTCCCACAACTTTTCATTGTCCTTGTAGATCCTTCTCTAACTCCAAAAATGGAAATG